TTCTTTCTTTCTTTCTTTCTTTCTTTCTTTCTTTCTTTCTTTCTTTCCTTCTTTCTTCTTCTTTCTTTCTTTCCCTTCCTTCCTTCCTATCTTCCTTCCTTCTTTTCTTTTTCTTTCTTTTCTTTCTTTACTTCATGTCTGGTGATGGAATGATTTGATATTTGGTTTAATTGGGAAGAAAGGAAATATTGTATTGACATTATGTGAGATGTTTCAGTGTTGTAGGGGGTGGTTCTGTGCCCTGAGGCTAGCATCAACCCTTGTTTCTATCATGAGGAGCCAGTAGGTATCTGCAGTAGATATCTGGGTATGAGAAGCCTGGGAAAAAGTTTTGATGATTCCAGACAGGAGATGGCAGTTATTTCCTTCCCTATGGGGAGAAGTAGATATTTCAGGATAGAGAAGAGATCAAGAGGGACAAAATTTTCCCAAATTCCCTGAACCTTGTTATATAAGGTATATTAAATGATAAGAATTAGGAATAAAGTAAAATGCTGCTCCTTATATAAAAAGTGAGACTCCAAATAATGAACTCTCTTTTTCCAAGACATTAAGATTTTTGACGGTGACTGTCACATGAAAGTTGCTTACATACTTGTTGGGTAAGTCAGGGGGTGAATGGTATGCTCTTGCCAATTACTGACAGTATATAAGGGTCCAAGTGTAGTAGGGACCACACTTCACCACACATCCACTTGCAACCCACCTGAATCCTCCTCTCCTGACAACATGTGTTGCAACTACGGGAACTCCTGTGGCTATGGCTGTGGATGTGGCTATGGCTCAGGCTATGGCTGTGGCTATGGCTCCCGTTGTGGCTGTGGCTATGGCTATGGCTCAGGCTATGGCTGTGGCTATGGCTTAGGATGTGGCTATGGCTATGGCTCCCGTTATGGCTGTGGCTATGGCTCCTGTTGTGGCTGTGGCTATGGCTCAGGATGGGGCTGTGGAAAAGGCTCCTACTGTGGCTGTGGATATGGCTATGGTTCTGGCTGCTGTGGCTACCGGCCATTTTGCTACAGAAGATGTTATTCTTCTTGCTGCTAGACCATCACTCTCCAAGCCCCATTTGCTTCTGAAATGACACCACCAAAGCAACAGCTGAAGCAAGAATCCATACCCCAAGAATTCTATATCCAGGAAATTGCATGCTTGACAGAGGCTTTGACCCCCAGTGAACGTTTGTGAGGATGGGATCTTAAGGCTCCAAGCTGTGTGATATCATCTGAGTATTTCCTAAATATTGGTCTTTGTTCCCTTAATCTGGATTTTGTGTTGGGACTGTCCCAGGGATCCTAACATCTCACAGTTGGACAAAAAACTCATTCTCAATAAAAATGGTTCTTTGCTTCTAACAAATCTCTGTGTTCTTGCTTGTGAATTACTCCTGTTTTTGAGTTGTTATGACCTCTCTTGAAACTTGGGTTGACAATATATTTCATGAACTTGAGGGCTCTTCCGTGATATAATATAAGCATTACTTCTCATCATGCATCAGGGATAATGTCTTCTTCACTTATTTCTCATATCCCTCATGCTCAGGCACTCAGAACACAGCACAAATCACATGTTATTACATAACTGTGCCCTGAAAATCACTCTGTGTCTAGAATTGAGGTGATGGGGAAAGAGGAGGAGGGAGGACACCTATTCAGGAGGTTGTGACAGAAGCCCAAGGGAGAGGAGGTGTGGTCTGAGAGCTGAATGGTTTGGATGAATGGCATGAGAGAGAGAGTCTCCAGGATTAATGAGAAATTAGAAGCAGACTCAGGTGACTCTTGAAGAAGTAAGGGAAGCATAAATTAGAAGCAAAATGTGGTATTGTATCATGAGCATTTTGATGGAAATGGTAATGTATTTGTTTGGATTTTTTTGACTTTAAGAAATTGATTTGTCACTTAATTTACAAATAGTTTTGAATGTTTTTTTAAAGATTATTTTTTTGAGAGAAAGAGAGAGGGAGAGAAAGCAAGAGTATGCACAAGGATGAGCAGAGGAAGGGACAGAGAGGGAGACACGTAGATTCCTGCCTAGTGCATCTTGAAATTAAGAGTCTGATGATTAACTGCCTGAGCCACCGGGTGCCAAGTTTTGAATGTTTCTGAGAAGAAACAGTCCTATACACTTTAGACAGAAGTGAAATTGTAGATGGGTTTCCTGCTCTCAGAGTGTTCATATTCTACTAGGTAAAAATAAGAAAAATAAGGAGTAATTAAGATATATTTAGAGAGATAATTGCTATGGAAGGAATAGACCAGTTTCCTGGGGAAGAGAGTGGAGGTTGAAGCATTGGAGAGATAGTTCAGAGAGTTATTTTGACATTTTGAGTCAAATGCACTGATGAGGCCAGTCACAAGAAATACTGCAATGTATGGTAGTAAGTGTTAAAGAAGAAGAGAAATGCATTATGTTTTAGGTATGATCAGTGGTGCCACAATTTTTAGTGGAAAAGAACAAGGATTAGTGCTTAAAGGTGCTCTCTAGTGCCTCAGTTGATGCAGATACAAGAATGGGATGAAAAGCCCAGTCCATTGTCTAATCTTGAGAGACTAGCACTTCGTGGGTTCTGAGTTCAGTGTCCTCTCCTTCTACACTGTATCTTGTAACAGAATGTCTTTTCAGGCTCAGTTTCCATGGGTAGTGAAACATGACTCCCCGTCTCTTCTCCATGACAAGGATCACTGCCCAAATCTGAATCTGAGGTCCCTGGAGGTAGTAGCCTTCACCCAATGGCCAATTGCAAGAGAGATGGCTCTGCCATCCAAGTCAGCCCCGGAGTGAGGTCATACCTAGGATATAATTTGTTCTACTGATGAAGAAACAGGTATTCTTCAATAGATGGATAGTTTTCATAGATGGGATATTTGTACATCTGATGTGAGGATTGATGGCACTCTGGGTAAATCTGAGGTAGAGAAATCCCACAAAGAGGGGAATGGAATTCTAATAATTAGAGTGTGTTGGAAATCTACTCATTGTTTTATTATGGTCTTTGTCCTTGAAAGCTTTCTGAAAGAGAGAGAATATCATCCATTTAGCATCAATATTGTAGCTGACACATCTACTAAAGGCCAATCCTTAATTAGGCCTATTTGATAATTCAGACATCTGGAAAAATATCTTCATAAACTAACACATGTCTTCAAAATGGGAAATTTGTGACTCTCTTAGTCAAAAAACATTTCAGACTTTCGGTTTGAATGAAATGAGAACAGTGTGATAATGTATCCAAACATCTTATAGTTTCTAACTGGCACAACAATGTTAGAACATGAGTTTTTTTTTTTTTTTAAGTTTATTTATTTTTTAGAGAGAGAGACAGACACTGAGAGAGGAAACACAAGCAGGGGGAGTGGGAGAGGGAGAAGCAGGCTTCTTACTGAGCAGGGAGCCCGATGTGTTACTCGATCCCAGGACCCTGGGATCATGACCTGTGCTGAAGGCAGACGCTCAATGACTGAGCCACCCAGGTGCCCCAGGACATGTTTTTGTTTTTATGCAATTGATTTTTATTGAGGGAATACTGATTGAGTTCAAATTACATTCTGGGTACTCAGAACTAAGTGGTGATTCAAGGATTCACTGAATAAGAGTCCCCCCCACCCCCGCTATCATGGATCAGTATCCACATATGGATATGAATGGAAAGGTACAAGAATTATGCGATAAAGACAGAAAAATTTTCCAATAGTTAGGAATATTGTGACCAGACAGTGGTTGCTTGAAAAGTAATGTGTCTATTCTAGGGAACTTGTGTATTAGAACTCAGAGTTTTGATTTTCAAGAATGAGAAAGCAGTTCTTAAATTTAAGAACAAATATGGTGGGATGTATTTTTCTTTAAGCTTCTTGGAAGGGGTGAGATACAGCAGAGATATCAGATAGACAAAGATCTAACTGTAGAAAAAGCAGTCAGAATACTGATGAAAAATTTTAAAAATGAAAGTTCTCAGAAAAGGAATTCTATAGATGTATGAATATCCCTGTTGAAGGCTTTCAATAAAGGACTGGATGGCACTCATTTCATTGTTGTTGAAATTTGAATGTGGAGAAGGAATGATCTTCCCAAGTTTGTACTCCCATTCAACTTGGACATCATAGTTGTCACAGTAAAATAATTAAAATTCTGGATTTTGTCTGTTTCAGAAAATAGTGACTTAGGTGAATCTAGACAACCAAGATAAGCAAAAACATCACACACACACACCAAATAGTACCTTTCTTCTTCTCCTACACCCCCTTCTTCCATTTCTTCTCCTTCTTCTCCTTCTCCTTCTCCTTCTCCTTCTTCTTCTTCTTCTTCTTCTTCTTCTTCTTCTTCTTCTTCTTCTTCTTCTTCTTCTTCTTCTTCTTCTCCTCCTCCTCCTCCTCCTTCCTCCTCCTCCTCCTCCTCCTCCTCCTCCTCCTCCTCTTCTTCTTCTACTACTACTACTACTACTACTACTGCTTCTTCTTCTTCCTCTTCTCTTCTTCTCCTTCTCCTCCTCCTCCTTCTCCTTTTCTCCTCCTCCTCCTCCTCCTCCTTCTTCTTCTACTTCTTCTTCTTCTCTTCCTCCTTCTCCTCCTCTTCCTCTGCCTCCTCCTCCTCTGCCTCCTCCTCCTCCTTATTCTTCATCTACATGTTTGGTGATGGAAAGTTTGGATGCTTGGTTTAGTTGGGAAGAAAGGAAATATTTGGAATTAGACACCAGTAAAGAGAGAAGCTAATTATTAGTGTGAAACTGCAAACCAAGGTTTTTAATCTCAGCACTACTGACATTTTTAAAAAATCAGATGTTCCAATGTTGTTGGGGGCTGTTCTCTGTCCTGAGCCTAGCATCATCCCTGGTTTCTACCACAAGGAGCCTGTTGGTATCTGCGGTAGATATCTGTGCAAGAAGCCTGACAAAAAGTTTCAATGATTGAGAAAGGAGATGGGAGTTATTTTCTTCTGTTTGGGCAGAAGTAGATATTGTAGGTAAGAAGAGGGACCAAGAGGGACAAAAATTATCCTAAATTCCCCCAACCTTGTTATATTGGGTATGTTAAATGATAGGAGCTTGTGAAGTTGGGTATCTGGTATGTTGAATGCATGATTCTACTGGGACATTCTTTGGCAGAGAAAATTAAAATACTGCTCTTTAAATAAAATGGAGTCTCCAAAATAATGAGCTCATTTCCTTCAAGACATTATTGACTGTTGACATTGACAGGCACATGAAATTTGCTTACATATTTGTTGGGTAAGTCAGGGGGTGAATGGCATGCTCTTGCCAATTACTGACAGTATATAAGGGTCCAAGTGTAGTAGGGACCACAATTCACCACACATCCACTTGCAACCCACCTGAATCCTCTTTTCCTGACAACATGTGTTGCAACTACGGGAACTCCTGTGGCTATGGCTGCGGATGCGGCTATGGCTGTGGCTATGGCTCAGGCTATGGCTGTGGCTATGGCTCAGGCTGTGGCTGTGGCTATGGTTCCCGTTGTGGCTGGGGCTACGGCTCTGGATGTGGCTGTGGCTATGGCTCAGGATGTGGCTATGGCTATGGCTCCCGTTATGGCTGTGGCTATGGCTCAGGCTGTGGCTGTGGCTATGGCTCAGGATGGGGCTGTGGCTGTGGATATGGCTATGGCTCTGGCTGCTGTGGCTACCGGCCATTTTGCTACAGAAGATGTTATTCTTCTTGCTGCTAGGCCATCACTCTCCAAGCCCCATTTGCTTCTGAAATCACACCACCAAAGCAACAGCTGAAGCAAGAATCTGTACCTCAAGAATTCTGCATCCAGGAAACTACATGCTTGACAGAGGCTTTGACCCCCAGTGAACGTTTGTGAGGATGGGATCTTGAGACTCCAGGCTGTGTGATATCATCTGACCATTTCCCAAATGTTGTTCTTTGTTCCTTTAATCTGGATTCTGTATTAGGACTGTGCCAGGGATCCTAACATCCCACAGTTGGGCAAAAAACTTATTCTCAATAAAAATCATTCTTTGCTTCTAACAAATCTCTGTGTTCTTGCTTATAATTTATTCCTTTTTTCTTTTCTTTCTTTCTTCTTTTGGTGTTAGGATCCCTTTGAATATTGGGCTGACAATACCTTTTATGAACCTGGGATTTTTCCTTGTAATAATACAAGCATTTCTTGTCATATGTGCATCAGAGATAATGTTTTCTCCTATTTCTTGTATCCTTCATTCTCAGGCACTCACAACCCAACAGAAATCACAAAGTATTTCAGAACTGTGCCCTGGAAATTGCACTGTGTTCAGAATGAAGCTGGCGGTCAGTGGGAGGAGGAGAAGGGATGACACCCATATAGGAGGCTGTGACAGAAGCCCAAGGGAGAGGAGATGTGGTCTGAGTGCTGAAGGGATGGATGATTGGCATGAGAGATAGGGTTTCCTGGATTTATGAGAAATTAGAAGCATGTTCTGGCGACGCATGAAGAACTAAGGGAAAGATAAGGTAGAAGAAAATGTGGCATTCTACCATGTGCATTTTGATGCAAGTGCACATGTATTTGCTTGCATATGTTGGGTTTAAGGAAATTGATATAAGTCATTTAATTTACAAATAGTTTTGAATGTTTTGAGGGGAGCTCTCCTGGACATAGAAGCAAAATTGTAGACAAGTTCCTGCTCTCAGAGTGTTTATATTCTAAAATGTGATACCAAAAAATGAGGATTATGTAAGATGCATTTAGACAGATAATTGCTATGGAAAGAATAAAGCAACTTCCTGGGGAAGAGACTGAAGGTTGGAATATTGGAGAAATAGTTCAGGGAGTTATTTTGACATTTTGAGTCAAATGAACTGATACGTATTACAAGAAACATTGGAAAGGATGTTAGTTAAGTGTAAAGGAAAAGAGAGGTTAATTATGTTTTGCACATGATTAGTGGCATCACAATTTTTTTTAAATGTTATTTATTTATTTGACAGACAGAGATCACAAGCAGGCAGAGAGGCAGGCAGAGAGAGGAGGAAGCAGGGTCCCCACTGAGCAGAGAGCCCGATGCGGGGCTCGATCCCAGGACTCTGGGATCGTGACCTGAGCTGAAGGCAGAGGCTTAACTCACTGAGCCACCCAGGCGCCCCGACATCACAATTTTTTACTGGAAATGAGCAAGTGGTTAACTAGTGGTTAATGGTGTGCCCTAGGGTCTTAATTGGGGTAGAGATAAGAATGGGATGAAGAGCCCAGTCGGCTATCTGAGTTTAAGAGCCTACCATTTTGTGGGTTCGAGTTCAGAGTCCCTTCCTCATGTGGGGAAGATCTCTACAGATCTCTGACATTGTATCCTATCACATAGAATGTCTTTTCAGGCTCAGTTTCCATGGACAGTGAAAAATGACTCACTCTCTCAAATCCATGACAAGGGTCACTGCACAAATGCTGAGTCTGAGGTCTCTGGAGCTACGAGCCTCCACCGGACGGCCAACTGCAAGAGAGATGGCTCTGCCATCAAAGTCTGCCCTCGAGTGACATTATGTCCATGTTATTGTGTTCTAGTGATGAAGAAATAGTTCTTTTAAGAATTGGAGAATTTTCACAGGTGCAATATATGTAAGTCTGATCCGAATACTGACTGTGCTCTGGATAAATCTGAGGTGGGGAGATCCTACAAAGAATGGAAGGGAAATCGAATAATTACAATTTGTTGAAAGTCTACTCATGTTTCATTATGTTCAATGTGTTTGAATTCTTTCTGAAAGGGAAGAATATCATCAATTAGGCATGACTATCACAATGTATATGTCCAGTAAAAGACCAAACATTTATAAGGCATAGAAAGTAATCTGTACATCTGGATAAACATCTTTGTAATCTAACAGATATCTTCTAAATGTGAAATTTGTGACTCTTTTAGTCAAAGAACGTTTGAGACTTTTAGCTTGAATGAAATGAGAACATCGTGATAATGTATCCAAATATCTTATGGCTTCTAAGGGGCACACTAACCCTTGAACATATATTTGTTTTAATGCATCTTTTTTTTTTTTTTTTTTTTTTTTTTTTTTTACTCAGAACTAAGTGGTGATTCAGGGATGCAAAGAATAAGAGATTTTTTTCTGCTATCATGGACCGGTACCCAGAGATCTGAATGGAAACCCTCTAGATATAATGCAATAAAGGATGGAAACTTTTACAATAGTCTATGGGTATTGTGATTGGAATGGCAGTGTTTAAAAAGTAATAGGTCTGTTCTAGGGAACTTGTGCATTAGAATTTAGAGTTGAATTCCTTTTTTAAAAAAATATTTTTTAATATACTAGTCATAGAGAGAGAAAGTAAGCACAAACAGGGGGAGCAGTAGGCAGAGGGAGAAGCAGGCTCTCTGCAGAGCAGGGAGTCCGATGCAGGACTCGATTCCAGGACCCTGGGATCAGGACCTGAGCCAGAGGCAGACGCTTAACCAGCTGATCCACCCAGGTGTCTCTAGAGTTTTGAAGTTCAAGAATGACAGAAAAGTAGAGAAAATAAAGGCAAAGAGTAAGTATAGTGGAATGTATTTTTCTTTAAGCTACTTGTAGGGATGAAATATGGCAGAGTGATCAGATACACAAGTGACCAACAGTAGAGAAACTAGTAGGATGTATTATTAACTGAAGGAAAGATGTCGAATTATGAAAGTTCTCAGAAAAAGAATTCAGTAGATTTATGAAATCCGTGTTGAGGTCTTTCAATAAAGGACTGGATGGCACTCATTTCACTTCTGTTGAAATTTGAATGTGGAATAATAGAAGGAATGATCTTCCTGAGTTTAGACTCCCTTGCAACTTGGATTTCATAACTATTACAATAAAAATGTAATTTAAGTCTTGGGATCTGCCTGTTTCAGAAAACAGTGATTTAGGTAAAACCTAGACAACCACGATAAGCAAAAATACCACAAAAAAACCCAAACTCATGACACCTTTCTTCCTTCCCTTCTGCCATCCTGCCTTCTTTCCTCTCTTTCTTTCTCCTTTTTCTTTCTCTCTTTTTCTCTTTCTTTTTCTTTCTGGTAGGTGTTGGAAGGGTTGAATGTTTCCTTACCTGAGAAGAAAGGAAATATTTGGAATTAGATACCAGTAAGGCAAGAAGCTAATTTATTGATGTGAGGCTACACACCAAGGTTTCTAGATATCCACAATATTGATATTTCAAATCAGATGTTGCAATGTTGGGGGCTGTTTTTTTCTGTCCTGAAAATAGCATCTTCCCTCATTTCTCCCACAAGGACCCAAAGATATCTACAATAGCCATCTGGGTTCAAAAAGCCTGATAGGAAGTTGTAATGATTCTAGTTTGAAAATGGGAGTATTTTTTTCCCCCTGTGGGCAGAGGTAGACGTTTTAGTAAGATTAGAGATCAAGAGTGGCAAAATTTTCCTAAAATCCCCCAACCTTGTTATATCAGGTATATTAAACAATGAGAGGTTGTAAAGTTGGGTATCAGTGATATGTAGAGCACATGATTCTACTGAGACAATTCTTTGACAGAGAAAATTAAATGCTGCTCTTTAAATAAAGTGGCAGAAAAATAAATAGAAGAGGAGATTCCAATTAACGAGCTCACTTTTCCAAAGACATTAAGATTTTTGACAGTGACTGTCACATGAAAGTTGCTTACATACTTGTTGGGTAAGTCAGAGGGTGAATGGTATGCTCTTGCCAATTACTGGCAGTATATAAGGGTCCAAGTGTAGTAGGGACCACAATTCACCACACATCCACTTGCAACCCACCTGAATCTTCTCCTGACAACATGTGTTGCAACTATGGGAACTCCTGTGGCTATGGCTGCGGATGCGGCTATGGCTGTGGCTATGGCTCAGGCTATGGCTGTGGCTATGGCTCAGGCTGTGGCTGTGGCTATGGTTCCCGTTGTGGCTGGGGCTACGGCTCAGGCTGTGGCTGTGGCTATGGCTCCCGTTGTGGCTGGGGCTATGGCTCAGGATGTGGCTGTGGTTACGGCTCAGGCTGTGGCTGTGACTATGGCTCAGGATGTGGCTGTGGCTACGGCTCAGGCTGTGGCTGTGGCTATGGCTCCTATTGTGGCTGTGGCTATGGCTCAGGATGGGGCTGTGGAAAAGGCTCCTGCTGTGGCTGTGGATATGGTTCTGGCTCTGGCTGCTGGGGCTACCGGCCATTTTGCTACAGAAGATGTTATTCTTTTTGCTGCTAGACCATCACTCTCCAAGCCCCATTTGTTTCTGAAATGATACCACCAAAGCAAGAGCTGAAGCAAGAATCCATACCTCAAGAATTCTACATTCAGAAAATTGCATGCTTGACAGAGGGTTTGACCCCCAGTGATCGCTTGTGAGGATGGGATCTTGAGGATCTAGGCTGTGTGGTATCATCTGACTATTTCCCAGATGTTGTTCTTTGTTCCTTTAATCTGGATTCTGTGTTGGGACTCTCCCAGGGATCCTAACATCCCACAGTTGGACAAAAAACTCATTCTCAATAAAAATGGTTCTTTGCTTCTAATAAATCTCTGTGTTCTTGCTTGTGAATTACTCCTTCCTTTTGAGGTGTTATGGCTACTCTTGAAAATTGGGCTGACAATATGCTTCATGACCCTAGGCTCTTCTTTGATATAATACAAACATTTCCTCTCATCGTGCATCAGAGATGTCTTCTTCACTTATTTCTCAATTCTCTCCTGCTCAGGCATGCACAGCCCAAAAGAAATTACACAGTATTTCAGAACTGTGCCCTGGAAATTACACTGTGTTCATAATGAAGCTGGGTGCAGGGGGAAGAGAAGGAGGAAGGACACCTATTCAGGAGGTTGTGACAGAAGCCCAAGAGAGAGGAGATGTGGTCTGAGTGCTGACTAGATGAATGGCATGGGTGAGAGAGTTCCTATGGTTAATGAGAAATTAGAAGCAGACTCACGTGACATATGAAGAACAAAGGGAAGGATAAGTTAGAGGAAACATGTGGTATCATGTCATGTGCATGGGACTGCATATTTATTTGCTTGCATATGTTGAGTTTAAGGAAATTGATTTTTTTAAATTAAAGATTTTATTTATTTGAGAGAGAGGGAATGAGAGAGAGAGAGCATGAGAGGGAAGAAGGTCAGAGAGAGAAGCAGACTCCCTGCTGAGCAGGAAGCCTGATGCGGGACTCCATCCTGAGACTCCAGGATCATGACCTGAGATGAGGCAGTCACTTAACCAACTGAGCCACCCAGGCATCTCTAAGGAAATTGACTTAAGTCACTTTTTGATAAATAGTTTCCAGTGTTTTTGTAAGGAAACTGCCCTATACACTGAAGATACAGTAATAAAATTTCAGAAGAGTTTCCTGCTCTCAGAGTGTTTGCATTCTAATAGGTGATAATAAGAAAAAGAAAAAAAAAACTAAGATACATTTAGACAGATAATCATTATGGAGGGAATAAAACAGCTTCTTGAGGAAGACAGTGAAGGTTACGTATTGGAGATACGGTTCAGGGAGGTATTTTGACATTTTGTGTGAAATGAACTATTGTTTGTTACACAAAAGGGCAGTGTTATGTGTAAAGGAAGAAGAGAAATGCATTGTTTTGTGTATGATCAGTGGTGTCACAATTTTTAGTGGAAAAGAGCAAGGACTAGTGGTTAATGACATGCTCTATGTGTGAACTGGTGCAGATATAAGAATGGGATGAAAAGCCCAGCCTACTATCTGAGTTTGAGAATCTACCACTTTGTGGATTCTGTTTTCAGATTCCCTTCCCCATGTGACTTTTCAGTTCTCTAACATTGTATTCCATATTATAGAATGTCTTTTCAGGCTCAGTTTCCATGAGCAGTGAAAAATGATGCCCTGTCTTGTCTCCATGACAAAGGTCACTGCACAAATCTGAGTTTGGGGACCTGAAGCTAGGAAACTCTGCAGAATGACTGTCTGCAAGGAAGGTAACTCTGTCAACAAAGTCAGACCTGGAGTGAGGCTATGCCCAGGATATAATATGTTCTAGCAATGAAGAAAAAGGAGTTCATCAAGAGTTAAGTAGTTTTCACAGGTGGAATCCTGTGTAAGCCAGATCTGAGGACTGACTATTCTAGGTAAATCTGAGGTGGGGAAACCCTACAGAGATGGGAATGGAATTCTTATAATCACAGTGTGTTGACAATCTACTCATTGTCTTATTATGATCCTTGTCCTTGAAGGCTTTCTGAAAGGGAAGAATATCTTCAATTAGGCAGTGATATCATAATATCAGTTATCATAATATTAATTGATATCATAATTTATATACCCAGTAAAGAGTTGACCATTTATTGAGCCTATTAGATAATTTATACTTCTAGAAAAATGTCTTCATAAACTAACACATAATCAAATCGTGAAATTTTGACCCTCTTAGTCAAGGAACATTTGAGACTTTCAGCTTGAATGAAACAAGAATATTGTGACAATATATGAATATATCAAATATATCAAAATATTTTAGAGCTTCTAACTGGCACAAAAATACTTGAACATGTTTTTGCTTTAATGCATCTGTTTTTTAATGACAAAAGTATTGATTAAGTTCAAATTATGTCCTGGGCACTCTATTTAGAACTCTATTTAGAACTAATTAGTCATTCAGGGATGCACAGAATAAAAGTTTTCCAGGGATCTGAATGGAGGTGACTAGAAATTATGCAATAAGTGTAGAAAACATGTTCAATAGTTCAGGGGTATTTTGGTGGGAAGGTAGGTGTTTGAAAAGGAATGTATCTATTCTATAGAACTTGTGCATTAAAATTTACAGTTTAAAATTTCAAGAATGACAGAAAAGTAGAGAAAATAAAGGTAAAGAACAATTGGAATGGGATGTATTTTCTTTAAGCTTCTGAGAAGAGAAGAAACATAGCAGAGTGATGAGATAAAACAGTGACCAACAATAGATGAAGTCGTAGGAAGTACTTTCAATATAAGGAAAATGTCTACTAATAAAAGTTCTCAGAAAGGAATTCAGTACATTTATTAATATTCCTGTTGAAGGCCTTAAGTAAAGGGCAGGATGACGCTCATTTCCTTTATTGAAACTTGAGTGTGGAGTTGAAGCAATGACCTTCCTAAGGTTGTACTCCCTTCTAACTTGGATTTCATAGTGGTTACAGGAGAAAGTAATTTAAATTTTGGATTCTGCTTGGTTTGGAAAGTGGTGATTTAAGTAAACCCTAGAGAACCAAGATAATCTAAAACATCGTAGCAAACAAGGAAACAAACCCCCAAAGAGAAATCTTTCATTCTTTCTTCTTTTTTCTTGATTCATGTCTGGTGATGGAATGATTGGATATTTGATTTAGTTGGGAAGAAAGGGAATATTTGGAATTAGACACCAGCAAAGAACCTAATTTATTGATGTGAAGCTAAATATCAAGGTTTCTAGATCACAGCACGATTGACATTTTATTTCAAATGTTTCAATGTTGTTGGGGGCTGTTCTTTGTCCTGAGATAAGCATCTTTCTTCCTTCCTACCACAAGGAGCCTGTAGGTATCTGCAGTAAGTATCAGGGTACAAGAAGCCTGGTAAAAAGTTGCAATGAGGGGACCTCGGTGGCTCAGTTGTTAAGCGTCTGGCTTCAGCTCAGGTCATGATCCAGGAGTCTTGGGATGGAGCCCTGCATCAGGCTCCCTGCTCAGAGGGAAGCCTGCTTCTCCCTCTCCCACACCCACTCCCTCTCCCACTGCCCCTACTTGTGTTCCCTCTCTCACTGTGCCTCTCTGTCAAATAAATAAATAAATAAATAAATCTTTAAAAAAAAAAAAGTTACAATGATTCCAGAAAGGAGATGGCAGCTATTTCCTCCCCTATGGAAAGAGGTAGATATTTTAGGAAATATTTAGGAAAGAGGAGAGATCAAGAGGAACAAAATTTACCTAAATTCCCACAACCTGTTATATCAGGTAGATTAAATGCTAGGAGCTTATGAGGTTGGGTATCAGTGGTATGTATAGCACATGATTCTACTCAGATAATTCTTTGGCAGAGATAATTAAAATGCTGCTCTTCAAATAAAATGGGAGTCTCCAAAATAATGAGCTCATTTTTCCCAAGACATTATTGATTGTTGACATTGACAGGCACATAAATGTTGCTTACATATTTGTTGGGTAAGTCAGGGGTGAATGGTATGCTCTATCAATTACTGGCAGTATAAAAAGGTCCAAGGGAAGTAGAAGACCACATTTCACCACACGTCTACTTCTAACCCACCCGAATTCTCTTTCTCTGACAATATGTGTTGCAACTACGGGAAATACTGTGGCTATGGCTGCGGATGTGGCTATGGCTATGGATGTGGCTATGGCTATGGATGTGGCCCCTATTCTGGCTGTGGTTATGGAACTGGCTATGGCTGTGGCTATGGTTCCCGTTGTGGCTGTGGCTATGGCTCAGGATGTGGCTATGGCTATGGCTCCTGTTGTGGCTGTGGCTATGGCTCAGGATGGGGCTGTGGAAAAGGCTCCTGCTGTGGCTGTGGATATGGCTATGGCTCTGGCTGCTGTGGCTACTGGCCATTTTGCTACAGAAGATGTTATTCTTCTTGCTGCTAGGCCATCACTCTCCAAGCCCCATTTACTTCTGAAATGATACCACCAAAGCAAGAGCTGAAGCAAGAATCCATACCCCAAGTATTCTACATCCAGGAAATTGCATGCTGGACAGAGGCTTTGACACCCAGTGAATGTTTGTGAGGATGGGTGATATCATCTGACTATTTCCCAGATGTTGTTCTTTGTTCCTTTAATCTGGATTCTGTGTTAGTACTGTCCCAGGGATCCTATCATCTCACAGTTGGACAAAAAACTTATTCTCAATAAATATGGTTCTTTGCTTCTAACAAATCTCTGTGCTCTTGCTTGTGAATTACTCCTTTTTTTGAGGTGTTATGACCTCTCTTGAAAATTGGGCTGACAATATGCCTCATAAACCTGGGGTTATTTCTTGGCATAATACACATATTACTTCTCATTGTGCACCAGATTTAATGTCTTCTTCACTTATTTCTCATATCCCTCATGTTCAGGCACTCACAACACAACACAACACAACACAACACAACACAACTCACGCATTATTACAGAACTGTGTCCTGAAAATCACTCTGTATTTAGAATTGAGGTGATGGGGAAAGAGGAGGAGGGAGGACACCTATTCAGGAGGTTGTGACAGAAGCCCAAGGGAGAGGAGGTGTGGTCTGAGAGCTGAATGGGTGGATGAATGTCATCAAGAGAGAGTTTCTAGGAATAATGAGAAATTAGAAGCAGACCCTGGTGATGCATGAACAACTAAGGGAAAGGTAAGTTAGAGTAAAAATGTCATATCGTATCATGTGCATTTTGACAGAAGTGCAAAAAATATTTATTTGCAAGGATTGAATTTAGGGAATTGTTTTAAGTCAGTTAATACCAAATAGCTTTGACTTTTTTTTCTTGTTAAGATTTTATTTATTTGCTTGTTTGTTTATTTAGGAAGTATGACCAGGGGGGAGGGATGCTAGAGAGAGAATGAGAGTGAGAGCGAGAATCTCTCTTTTTTAAAAAAAAATTATTTATCTATTTGTTAGAGAGAGGGAACACACAAGCACGGGGAATGGCAGGCAGAGGGAGAAACAGACTCCCTCCTGAGCGAGTAGCCAGATGAGGGACTTGTTCCCAGGACATTGGGGTCATGACCTGAGCCAAAGGCAGACACTTTATCTGGCTGAGCCCCCCAGGCATCCCAGAGGGAGAATTTCATACACATTCCGAGTTGAGTACAGGCTCCAATGTGGGGCCATTCTCAGGACCCTGAGATCATGACCAGAGCTGAAATCAAGAGTCATTCTTTACCAACTGAGACACCCAGGCACTCCATCTCTTTGAATGGTTTTGTTTATTTTTATTATTTATTCATTATTAAAGATTTTATTTATTTATTTGAGAGAGCAAGAATGAGAGAAAGCATGAGCAGGGTTGAAGAGCAGAGGGAGTGGGAAATGTAGATGCCCTGCAGAGCAGGGAGCCAGATGTGGAGTTCCATCCCAGGACTCTGGGATCATGACCTGAGCCAATGGCAGATGCTTGACCGACTGAGCCACCCAGGCATCCCTCTTTTCTTGGAAGGTGTTTGAAAGGGAACTTTCCTATACACGGAAGATACAGTAACAAAGTTGCAGAGGCATTTTTTTTCCCCCTCTCGGAGCACTTATATTCTAATAGGTGATAAGAAAAACTAGTAAGAATTAATTAAATTAAATTTAGACAGCTAACTGCTATTGAAGGAATAAAGCAGCTTCCTGGGGAAGAAAATGAAAGTTGAAATATTGGAGAGATAACTCAGGAAGTTATTTTAACATTTTTGTATCAAATGAACTGATGCCTGTTACAGGAAACACTAGAAAGGTTGGTACTAAGTGTAAAGGGGGAAGAGAAATGCATTAAATTTTGGGTTTGATCAGTAGTGCTGCAATTTTTAGTGACAAAGAGAAGGCCTAGTTCCTTAAATGGGTTTTCTTTGTTTGGGGAACACATATGAATGCAATCAAAATTTCTGGTTGACTTTATGAGTTTGAGAGTGTACTAATTTGTTGGGTTTTGATTTCAGGGTCCTTTCCTCATGGGACTTTCCAGAACTCTAATATTTATATCCTATAAAAGAAAATGCCTTTTCAGATTCAGTTTTCACCATGCAGTATAAATGAGTCTGTCTCATCTCCATGACAATGTTCACTGGACAAAGCCTGACTCTGAGGTCCTTGGATCTAGGAGACTCTACCAAATGACCAATTCTAAGGAAGATGGTTCTGTCATCAACATCAGCATGGGAGCTGATGCTATGCCCAGGACATTATGCCCTACTGATGAAGAAACAAGTGTTTTTCAAGAGTTGAGCAGCTCACAGATGGAATGTTTTTTAGTTGGATCTGAGAGCTGTGCTTGGGTAAACCTGAGGTGCAGAAATCCTACAAAGAAGGGAAGGGAATTCTAATAATTACCGTTGAAAGTCTACTCATGTTTCATTAAGTTCCTTGTGCTTTAAGGTTTTTGAAAGACAGAAGAATATCATCAATTTGGTATCTGCATCCTAATTTACATATCCAGTAAAGGGTTGATCATTTATTGGGCATATAAGGTAATTTATACATCTGGAAAAATGTCTTCATAAATTAACACAAATCTTCCAGATGTGAAATTTGAGACTCATTTAGTCAAAGGATATTTGAGACTTTCAGCTTGAATGAAATGAGAACATTGGTAATGTATCCAAGTATCTTACAGCTTCTAAGTGGCACACCAATGTTTGAAAATTGAACATTGTTTTAATGCATCTTTTATGATTGGGGAAATAAATAACTGAGTTCAAATTATGTACTGGGTACTAGGAACTAAGAAGTGATTCAGGGATACACAGAATAATATTTTTCTGCCATCAAGGATCAGTATCCTCAATGTAGAGTTGCTAGAAATAATGCAATAAAGATAGAAAACTTCATCAACATTTCAGGGATATTTTGACCCAAAGGTGGGTGTTTGAAAAGTAACATACCTACTTGAGGGAACTTGTGCATTAGAATTTATAATTTTGAATTTCAAGAGTTGACAGCAAAGTAGAGAAAATATAGGTAAAGAACAACCAGAATAGGATGTATTTTCTTTAAACTTCTTGTTAAGGATGAAACATGGCAGAGAGAGGAGATAGACCAGTAACTAGTGGTAGAAAAAGTAGTTGAAAATACTCCCAACTGAAGGGAAAATGTGTAATAATGAAAGTTCTCTCAAAAAGAATTCAGTAGCTTTATGAAAATCTCCGTTGAAGTCCTTTTAAAAATGAGTGGACGGATCTCATTCCTTTGTTATTGAAATTTGAGTGTGGAATGGAAGGTACAATCTTCTTGAGTTTGTACTCCCAACTTAGTTGTCATAGTTATGACAGTAAAAGGCAATTTAAATTTTGTTTTTTTCCTGCTTTGGATATTGATGATTTAGGTAAAACCTAGACAATCAAGAGTAGCAAAAACATCACAAACAAACAAACAAACATATAACACCTTCCTATCTTTTTGTTTGTTTGTTTTGATTTAGTCCGCACATGAAGTGATGGAAAGGTTAGACGTTTGCTTCAGTTGAGAAGAAAGGAAATATTTGGAATTAGACAACAGTAAAGAGAGAAGGTAATTTATCATTGTGAAGCTATACACCAAGGTTTCTAATCTCAGCATTATTGATATTTTATATCAGTTGTTATGATGTTATTGGGGGCTGCCCTGTGCTCTGACACCAGCATCTCCCTGGTTTCTCTCATAAGAAGCCAGTAGGTTTCTGCAGTAAGTGTCTGGGTTTGAGAAGTTCACAAAAAGTTTCAATGATTCCAGAAAGGAGATGGGAGTTATTTCCTCCCTTAGGGGTAGAGGTAAATATTTTAGGAAATAGGAGAAATCAAGAAGGACATAATTTTCTTAATTCTCCCAAATCTTGTTATATAAAGTATACTAAATGATAGGAGCTTGTGAAGTTGGGTATCAGTGGTATGTAGAACACATGATTTTACTGAGACAATTTTTGGCGGAACAAATTATGAGCTCAGTTTTCCTAAGACATTAATAATTGTTGACATTGACAGACACATGAAAGTTTCTTACATACTTGTTGGGTAAGTCAGAGGGTGAATGGTATGCTCTTGCCAATTACTGGCAGTATATAAGGGTCCAAGTGTAGTAGGGACCACAATTCACCACACATCCACTTGCAACCCACCTGAATCCTCTTCTCCTGACATCATGTGTTGTAACTACGGGAACTCCTGTGGCTATGGCTGTGGATGCGGCTATGGCTGTGGCTATGGCTCAGGCTATGGCTGTGGCTACGGCTCAGGATGTGGCTGTCGTTATGGCTCCCGTTGTGGCTACGGCTATGGCTCAGGCTGTGGCTGTGGCTATGGTTCAGGATGGGGCTGTGGCTGTGGCTATGGCTCAGGATGGGGCTGTGGAAAAGGCTCCTGCTGTGGCTGTGGATATGGTTCTGGCTCTGGCTGCTGTGGCTACCGGCCATTTTGCTACAGAAGATGTTATTCTTCTTGCTGCTAGACCATCACTCTCCAAGCCCCATTTGCTTCTGAAATGACACCACCAAAGCAACAGATGAAGCAAGAATCCATAACCCAAGTATTCTACATCCAGAAAATTGCATGCTTGACAGAGGCTTTGACCCCCAGTGGTCAAAGTGTTTGTGAGGATGGGATCTTGAGGCTGTAGACTGTGTGGTATCATCTGACTATTTCCCAAATATTGGTCTTTGTTCCCTTAATCTGGATTCTGTGTTGGGACTGTCCCAGGGATCCTAACATCTCACAGTTGGACAAAAAAACTTATTCTCAATAAAAATGGTTCTTTGCTTCTAACAAATCTCTGTGTTCTTGCTTGTGAATTACTCCTTTTTTTGAGGTGTTATGACCTCTCCTCAAAATTGGGCTGACAATATATTTCATGAACCTGGGGGCTCTTTCTTGATATAACACAAGAATTACTTCTCATCATGCATCAGAGGTAATGTCTTCTCTACTTATTTCTTGTATCCCTCATGCTTCAGTATTAACAACCAAACAGAAATTACAGTGTTTTGGAACTGTGTACTGGAAAAAACACTGAGTCTAAAATGGAGTTGGAGGGAAAAGAGGAGGAGGGAGGACACCTATTCAGGAGGTTGTGACAGAAGCCCAAGGGAGATGAGGTGTGGTCTGAGAGCTGAATGGATGGATAAATGGCATGGGAGAGAGAGTTTCCAGGATTAATGAGAAATTAGAAGACGACTCAGGTGACACATGAACAACTAAGGGAACGATAAGCTAGAGGAAAAATGTCATATCGTATCATGTGCATTTGGCTGGAAGTATATGTATATTTGTTTGCATACACTGAGTTTGAAGAAATTGATTTAAGCCATTTGTTTGACAAATAGTTTTGAATGTTTTTGTAAGGGAACTGTCCTACACACTGAAGATACCATAGCAGAATTGTAGACCACTGTCTTGCTCTAAGAGTGCTTGCATTCTAAAAGATATAATAATAACAAAAAGAATAAATTAAGATACTTTTAGACAGATAAGTGCTATAAAAGGAATAAAGCAGCTTTCTGGGGAAGAGAGTAAAAGTTATAGTATTGGAAAGATAGTTCAGAGAGGTATTTTGGCGTTTTGATTCTAATGAACTGATGCCTGTTACAAAAAACACTGGAAAGTATGGTAGTAATTGTTGAGGAAGAAGAGAAATTTATTGTGTTTTGGGTATGATCAATAGTGTCACAATTTTTGTGGAAAAGAGCAAGGACTAGGGGATATCGGTGAGCTCTAGCACCTCAGTTGGTGCAGATAGAAGAATGGGATGAAAAGCCCAGTCTACTGTCTGAGTTTGAGAGCCTACCAGTTTGTGGGTTTTGAGTTCAGTGTCCTTTCCTCATGTGACTTTCCAGATCTCTAACCCTGTATCCTATAATATAGAATTTCTTTTCAGGCTCAGTTTCCATGGACAGTGAAAAATTACTTTCTGTCTCATCTCCATGACAAGGGTCATTGCACAAAGTCTGAATCTGAGGTCCCTGGAGCTAGGAAACTCCACAGAATGGCTGTTTCCAAGAAAGATGGCTCTGCCATCAATGTATACCCTGCAGCAGGCTATACCCAAGATAAAATGTGTTTTACTGAAGAGGAAATGGAAGTTCTTGCAAGAGTTGAACACTTTTCACAGGTGGAACATTTGTTAGTCAGAGCTGAGGAATGACTGCTTTGGGTTAATTTCAGTTATTCTTACAAAAAGATGAAGGCAATTCTAATAATTACCATTGGTTGAAAATATGCTTATTTTTTCATTATGTCCTTTGTTTTCAAAGACATTAACAATTCAAGAATACCATTTATTAAGCATGGAAAGGGAAAATTTATTTTCTAGAAAAGAGTCTTCACAAACTAAAATTAACATATGTTCAAATCTGAAATACGGTGCCTGGGAAAACAGTTGTAACTTTCAGCTAAGTGAAATGAGGAAATGATGATCATGTTAAAAGGGAGTTCATTACGATAAAATTAGAGAAAGTATGTGTGTGTGTGTGTGTGTGTGTGTGTATCATTGGTGGATGAAGGTTGAGAAAAATGAAAATATGGCCTCACATATTGGGTCATAATAAAAGTCAACACTTTCTATAGTCAGGAGATGAGTTAAGCTTTAAAGCTTCTTCATGAAGTAACACAAAGTCTTTTTCTTTGATTACCTGTTGCATATCATGTTGTAGTAAGTTGTAAAATCATTTATTTGTTCTTTCAGTCATTTAGCAAATGTTAAAATCCATGTTCCAGCTTCATGTTATGACTGGTGCTGCATTGTATTTAATTGGTTGTTTCTTCCAATAATTAAAAATGTTCATTTGGATACAAAGTAGTAAATCACACATTCTCATTCTAGCATGTGTGTTTATAGGTTTTATAGAATCCTATAGGATTCAAAATGGAAACCAAAATAAGTCATGACAAGAAGACTAGAAAAAGGCCAGAAATAGCTTCTAAAGGAGAGTGACATATGAGAAGAGCCATAAAGGATGAGTTGAAATTGGTCTGTTACATGAGAGGGAATATAAAATTCAAGGAAGAGGTATTTTAAAAAAGAAAGTGAATAAATTGGCAGCTACTACTTAAGTAGCAACCTCTACTGGAAAATTTATAATCAGCACCACCCCCATATGGGTGAATTCTGAGATTCTCTTTAGCTGCATTGTCCAATATGGTAGCCACTAGAGAGATATGGCTATAAGCACTTGAAAATTGGCTAGTCCATAATGAAATGTGTTTTAAGTGTAATATACACACTAGATATCAAAGACTTAGTATAAAAAAAGAATGAAAACTATATCAAACAATTAAAAAACTGTTGATTATATATTGTGGTAATATTTTGGGTATATTAAATGAAATACGCTATAAAAGCAATTCATCTATTTCTTTTTATCTTTTAAAAATGCAGCTACTGGAAAGCTCTAAATTCTATGTGTTTCATGATACATTTCTATTGTATAGTTTGGTTTTATAAGGTCACAACAATCTTGCCAGGAGGACTGTAGCCAGGAAGAGAAGTCATGTTAGGCCACCAACAACTATCAAGCAATAATTCCATGTTATCCAGGTATAAGGAGTGGATCATTCTGAGATAGTAAGAACACAATAGCCAGTGCTAAAGAGTTCAGAAGGTGCCCAGTAACAAAGTTTTCATCTGAGGTAGTTTATTCAGTAAATGGGATTAATCAATTTGTCATCTGTTTAAGATACCTGCCTTACACCATGCACAGAAGAAATGCCATATTGATTAATGTTGTAAACGATGAAAGTTAATTTATTAAAATAAAGAAGATGTTATAAACCTTCAGGAATTTTATAAGCCAGCTAATTTGAAAATAATCATGCTAAGAATATTTACACCCTGGAAGTTGGCAAATCAGATTCCTTATCATCAGTAGAGGTCATTAAAGAATTAACAGCAGACCATTGCCCACATCCCTCTTGTTACTGAGAGTAAAATCATTTTTTTTGAAAGTATTACAATATGGATGTATTATTTATGGGCCTGATAAAGCAAACAAATCCACAGAAATCAGTAAAAGAGATCTAGAAATCTTTGGAGTCTATATTAAGTTGATATCTATATTCCCCTGTGCATGAACAATCATATTTAACTACACTCTTCTTCTGCAAGATATCATTTCCTCAAGGTCATCCCAATGACTACACTCCCAGGAAGAAAATTGTGATTAAGAGTCTAGGTTCCATAGCGGGTATTATGCTAAGAGAAATAAGTCAATCAGAGAAAGACAATTATCATATGATATCACTTATGTATGGAATTTAAGAACCAAAACAGAGGATCATAGGTGAAGAGAGGAAAAAATAAAACCAGATGAAGTCAGAAAGGGAGGCAAACCATAAAAGACTCTTTTAAAAAATTATTTTATTTTATTTTTATTTATTTGACACAGAGAGAGGGATCACAAGTAGGCAGAGCAGCAGACAGAGAGAATGGGAGAAGCAGGCTCCCTGCCGAGCAGAGAACCCAATGTGGGGCTCTATCCCAGGACCCTGGGATCATGACCTGAGCTGAAGGCAGAGGCTTAACCCACTGAGCCACCCAGGTGCCCCCATAAGAGACTCTTAATTATAGGAAACAAACTGAGTGTTGCTGGATGGGAGGGGAGTGGAGGGATGGGGTAACCGGGTGATGGACATCAAGGAGAGCACATGATAAAATGAGCACTGGGTATTATATAACACTGATGTATCTCTAACCTCTATGTCTGAAACTAATAATATATGTTAATTAAGTGAATTTAAACAACAAAAAAAAGTATTTTCCAAGGAAAAAAATGATTCTAGGTTCCAGAGTCACATTACTTGTGCTCTAGTATAGTCTCCATCAGTTATTAACTGTGTGATCATGGCATATTATTTAACTCCTCTGAGCCTCAGTATATTCAGAGGTAAAATGATAAAATAGTGCTAGATCAGGGTTGTTGAGAGTATAAAACAAATAAAATATGCAAAACTCTACCACCATGAGAACTCAGTAGATTTTTACTATATTTATTATTGGGTTGCTCAATATGAAATTGCTGTCACAACCATTTTAACATAAAAATTTATTGTTTGACCTTATTTTTATTTTTATTAATGTTGGCAATATTTTGATAAGCTCAGAATTTTATAGTCTGTTATCTCAATTCTCTCATATCAAATGCATGGGTACAAACCCATGTTAGATGTTTTGTACATCTATCATACATGTATTTCATAGTTATGAACTCTAACATATGCTCTGATATCAAATAAATTGACACAGTGTTTGTCAATGTACTTTTCATAACAAATTAATGGGTTTTAGTGAAGTAGCTTCTTTTCTGATGGTTGGGTCCTCCTTTTTATTTTATCATCAAATTCTATTAATTACCAGAGAAGTTTCTATTAGATTTGGCAGATGGTATGGGATCTATCATAAAATAAGTTTTTATTTTTTTACAATTTTTTTTTAGCAAAGAAGTGATAATAGTAAGTTTT